GGCTGGATTATCAACCTCAAGAAATCAGAACTGGTTCCCACCCAGGATCTGGTGTTCTTGGGGCGCAGGTTCGAGACAGCGAGGGATAGTCTCCCTGTCTCCGGACCGCGTCACCCAAAGTCCAGAGTTGTGTTACAATTTCTCGAAGTTCCCAGGGCCTCAGCTCGGACTTGGCTCCAGTTGTTAGGCAACATGGCTGCAACGGTGGGACATCGCATGAAGGCCGGGTTGAGGATGCGACCCATTCAGCAGGCTCTAGCTCAATGTGGGTCCACACCCAGGGTTACGAAGTTGATTCTCCACACTCCAGGGTGGCTAATTCCTCATTTCTGGTGGTGGACACTGGCAGGAATTTATCCAAGGCTCCTTTGGACATCCCATCGCCAGATCTCTCAATTCAGACGGACGCTTCCCTCACAGGGTGGGGGCGTGCTGGGCGCCTGTCGGCCTCAGGCCTGTGGTCACAGAGCGAGGCGCAACTGCACATCAATGTGCTAGAATTGAGAGCAGTCAGGTTGGTGTTCAAACGACTTGAGGAGCAGGTTCAAGGCGCCGTGGTCCGCCTCGAGATGGACAACCAGACGGCAATGACCTACATCCTGAAGCAGGGGCGGTCACGGTTTCCCGCCTCTTCTGCAGGAGGCATGGCAGTTTCTGCTCTGGTGCGACCAGTTCGACATACGGGTAATGCCATTTTATCTCCCAGGGCGGACAACGCTCGGTGCAGGATGCACTCTCTCGTCGTATCCTGGCCCCACAGTGGATGTCCATCGGGGGGATATTGGGGCCATCTCCCAGTTGTTGGTCGATTTCCAGGTGGATCTGTTTGCATCTGGGGGACGAACCAGATTCCGGTGTTTTGCTCGGATACCGGATCCGAGCCATCGCCCAAGACGCTTTCCAGCTCGGGATTGGACGGGACAGGGTTCTGTGGGCGCTCCCGCCCACTACCCCCTGATTCCCAAAGTCCTCTTTGCAGCTTGCCACCCAACCAGCTCGACTTCTTGTGCTGCTTCCTTGCACCCCTTTGGTCGCTCAAAGCTGGTTTCCGGTACTACTCAGGTTTCTGGCTCAGCCTCCTGTACTATTACCCTTCGACCGGACTTACTATCCCAGAAGCGGAGCGCGCACCGAATCCCAGGATTCAGTGGGTGGCCTGGCCTCTGTCCGAATCGCCTCCACGCTGAAGCGAATTCCTGCACCAGTTGCAGACACAATTCTGGCTTCGCTGAGGGATTCGGCTACAAACGCTCAGTATGAGGATAGATGGGCCTGTTATGCTGGTGTGTCGGCAGAGGGATTCTTGATCCCTTTTCTTCAACTGTAATTGAAGTACTGGAGTTCTTGCAGTCTCGGTTAGAAGCCGGTTTAGCCGCCGTCTACTATCCGGGCTACTCCACGGCAATCTCTGCCTTCCATATCCTACTGCCGACGGTGCTCTCTTGGGGCAGCACCCCTCGCATAGCTTTTAGCAGGCGTGGACAGAATCCGTCCGACTGTCCGGGCGGATTAGTCCCCGCGGGACTTTTGTCAATCGTTCTTGATTGATGTCCCGTCCTCTCTTTCAACGATCTGTCGCCTCTTTCACTCCAGCTGTTAAGTTGAAGGCTGCCTTTCTTGTGGCGGTAACGTCTGGCAGAAGCGGTAGGTGATATCCATGCGATGTCAGCGGATCCTGCTCTGACTGTCTTTCACAAAGACAGAGTCAGTATTGGGTTGCCAGACTCCTACCGCCCTAGAAGGTGCAGGCCTCTTCATATAACGTGCCTATCGAACTGCCAGCTTTCACTCAGCCTCCATCGTCCGGTGCCTCTCTTCGGGCGTGCTCACGTCTTAGATGTCCGTAAAGACTCTCAAGGCTTATATCAAGCGAGCGGCTGCTATCAGGAAAGATAAGCAGCTGTTCTGTTGTTATGGCGGTGGCAAGGCTGGTCTTCGCCCGAACAAGCAGACCATATCTAGGTGGCTTGTCTCTGCCATTTGTTCGAAGTTACTCTTACAAAGGATTTAACCATCCCTCAGGGTTTAAAGGCTCATTCTATTAGGGCAGTGGCGACATCAAAAGCATCGCGCCGCACTGCCCATTGAAGAGATCTGCTCAGCGGCTATCTGGAGCCCGATCGAAGCACGTTCATCCGCCACTATCAGCTGGACAAACACTCACCGGAGGCGTGCTTTCCGGGTTTGGCACAGACAGTTCTCACCAGTGGGCATTCTCTAGCCGAATGAGCCTTAGAAATCACGCTTGCTTTTCTCATGGTGTAGGTGTTAATAAATTCCTCAATTTTTATCGGGTGGTGGTATCACATTGGTGGTGGTTTTACTGTATGTAGCGATTATCACTTCGCTACAGTCACTGTGTTCATCCCTGCACCACGCGCTGGTTTGGGTTGCTGAGGATCTATATTGGACTTCGCCCATACTTTCCCTCCCATTTTGATGGTTGGGGGTGGGACTTGCGTCCCCTTTATAAATTCCACCAATAGCCTATCTAGGCTGAGCTCCTTTTCCCCGCCTTACTTGCGCCCCGCCTGATTGACATCAGCGGTCAGGTGACTAGGTGAGTGTACTTTCTCTCTCTGTCGCGGCTTCGGCTGTGCCTTCGACTGAACTAGGGGGTATGTTAGGCAGACAGAATACCACTCCCGACTCAACATCGTTGGGAGTCTGTCTTATGCTTATATGTACCCCAAGGAGGACTTCTTCTGAAAAAGAATTTTACAAACCTGGAGAGGTTATGAATTCTTTGAAGAAAAGTCCTCGCAGAATCTGGCCCACCTCCCCTCATTCTGTCTGACACGTTCAGCATGAAAAGTGAGGTACGAGGTACACAGCCAGAGTTACCTGCTCTTGGCTGTAGGGGGCCCTCTACGGGGCCCTGTAGGGGTGGTCTCACCACACATAACGAGTTTTTTGTTTGGTAAAATATTTTATTGAAATATTGTTACAACTGTCGTAGGCTTTTAAAATGGACATTTTAATGCTTATATGTACCCCAAGGAGGACTTTTCTTCAAAGAATTCATAACCTCTCCAGGTTTGTAAAAATTTAAGGCGGACATGTATCAAGCAGTATAAACTAGATCCAGCATGGTATTACACCAGCCCAGGTCTGTCGTGGGATGCCTTGCTTAAAAAGACCGGAGTTAAGTTGGAATTGCTTACTGATTATGACATGCACCTGTTCATTGAGAAAGGCTTGCGAGGTGGGATCTCCATGGCAACCAAACGATACGCGAAAGCAAATAATCAATACGTGAAGGGTTACGACCCTAGCAAACCAACTAATCATATTCTCTATCTCGACGCCAACAACCTGTACGGATGGGCTATGAGTCAGTATCTACCCACAGGGGGATTCGAATGGGTATCATCCGATTTCGATATTATGAGCATCGGCGGATTCGAACAAAGGTTATATCCTCGAAGTTGACTTGGGTATCCCAAAGCATTACACATCACACAACAGTTACCCCCTGGCTCCCGAACGTATGAGGGTTAACCCAGACTGGATGTCTGAATACCAACATAACTTGTTAGATAGGCGGGTGGCCGGCGTTGAAAAACTCGTGCCTAACTTAATGAATAAGACCAAATACATCGTACACTATCGCAACCTGCAGCTGTACCTGTCATTGGGTATGAAACTGACCAAAATACACAGGGTGCTCGTGTTCAACCAGAGCCTATATGGATGGAGCCTTACATCAGAATGAACACAGACCTCCAGAAGCTTGCAACCAGTGACTTTGAGAAAACCTCTACAAGCTCATGAACAACTTCGGTGTTTGGTAAGACTATGGAAAACCTGAGGAAAGCGGCGTGGACGGTGAAGCTGGTTCGATCGAATGAGGAGGACAAACTCAGGAAGCTGATAGCCAGTCCGACATTTAACCGTAGCAAGATATTCACCGATGACCTAGTTGCCCTACACATGAAGAAAAGTCACATAAAATTCAACCGACCTGTTTACGGGGATGAGCATCCTCGATTTATCCAAACACCTGATGTGCGACTTTTACTACAACGAGCTTAAGAAACAACACGACGACAGGTGAAGTGCTGTACACTGACACGGATTCCCTGCTGATGGAGATTCGAACCGAGGACGTAACGAGGACATGAAAACGCCTCGATTTATGCGACACCAGTGACTACCCCAAGGACCATACCATACACAAGCACGGTAAATAAAAGGTCTAGGTAAGATGAAGGGCGAGTGTGCAGGCACGTCCATAGCGAAGTACATAGGGTTGAGGCCTAAGATGTACTCCATACTGAAAGCGACAATAGTGAGATCCGGAAGGCTAAGGGTGTTAAGAAGCATGCGTGGTGAAACAACACATCAAACACGCCATATTCAAGGAATCCCTGTTCAAAACCCGTTACCTTTAAACATAAAATAAACACACTTAGAAGTGATAGTCATAGGATATATGGGCTGACAATAAACAAGGCGTCCCTGTCGCCTATGGATACTAAACATTGGATAGCTATTGATGGGATAAACACGACGCTGCATCGGGCATGAGAAAATTGAACCAAGAACATAGGTATAAATAAATATCCGGTCGGGGCGACATGTCACGGAACCAGAAAAAGTTTGAGGCTATTTACTACAGCCCGCGTGGGTACTGGAAAGGAGCTAGCGCTGTAGATAAGCTGGCTAAAATGGCGCGAAGTACCGCGGAGGAAGCCAAAGCGTGGCTTGAAAAACAAGCACTTTGGCAGATATATTTACCACCACCACGATACGTACCTAGAAGGAAGTTTGGTATTAACATACCTAATAACGTTCACCAAGCAGACCTGCTGTTCCTACCCCACGACAAGAGATACAAGTATGCCTTAACCGTAGTGGACGTAGCCAGTCGCTACAAGGAAGCCGAACCCTTGACCACGAAAGATTCAGTCCAGGTAGCCAGAGGATTCGAACGCATATACAAACGCAGTCCGCTGACGTGGCCAACAGAGCTGCAAGTTGATCCCGGACGTAAGTTCATGGGAGTTGTGTCGCAGTTGCTGGCTAAGCACAAAGTACGAGTGAGGCGGCGGCACGGTTGGAGCCCATCGCAGCCAAGCCATAGTAGAGATTTAATAGAACTTTGGCGGCGTTTATTTGGGTACCAATGCGCTAGAGAGATGACCAACCCAGGAAAGCGATCGACGGAATGGGTTGAACGGCTCCCTAAGGTTGTGTCTGCCATAAATCATGAAATCACGCGACTCACTGGTAAGAAACCGGCAGCCGCTATCAAATTGAAATCAATAATATCAGAGTCGGCTGCTCCATTGCGTGGGAAGGAGAAACAGATACCTGATAGATCCTTAGTGAGGTACCTATACCAGCCGGGGGAGCACGAGGGTGATAGTCGTAAGCGAGCCACCGATCCTATATGGTCAGTCAAAACTTACAACATAGATAAAGTGGATATGAAATCAGATGAACCTAACTTATACTACTTGATGGATGGGCCGGGCAGAGGGTTTGTAAGAGAAGAATTATTAATCATACCGTACGACACAGTATTACCTCCTGTCAACACGGCATAGAGGCAAGATACCCGGTGGAGTTCGTATCCCACTATAGTAGAGGTAATGGTAGCAAGAGATAAGGGTCCCCGACTAAAGTCTTATTTATGAAATAAAGCTCTGTAGAGGGGTAGTAGATAGTAATGGTAAGGGTCCGACTAAAGCTTTATCTATTAAATGAAGCTTTAGATTACCCTGATCCAGAACTCTCATTCTGTCTACTACTCAACCTTTGATCAGAAGGTCTGTGGTTCGAATCCCATCACAGAACTCTGAACTTTTATGGCTGCTGCACTCACATCAGATGCTGAAGAAAATATATGTGTTTTATCTCATTCTTTCCCATTTCAGGCTCGTCAGATTCAGGTGTCGACAGATGACTCAGAGGTGAAGGCCAACCTGCGACAGTTGGGAGAACCGATATGTGAGTACAAGTATGACTGATAATCCCTTCCTAATCCTCTGATTGTCCCCGATTCCCTCATTCTGACACATTGTCTCGCTACCTCCTCACTCCACCTCTCCTTTCTAGACGAGCTTACTCTCTCTCATTCTCTCACTATAACATTCCATTTACTAACCTTCACTGCTCACAGTCATGACCGATTCCACTCAATGTCTCATTCTCTCTTTAAAGGTCTGTTCGGTGAGGGTCCAGCAGAGAGGCGAGAGAGATTGAGCCAGTTGTTGGCCCGACTTGGAGAAGATGCTGTCAAAAAGAAGAAGGAGGAAAAGTTGCAGGAACAGAGGAAAAAGGAAGAGGTTGGGAATAATGCTTAAGTTTGCGATAGGGATACGGGTGTACAAATGTAGGGAAGCAGTTTCTGTTCCAGTTACTCCCAAATCATATGTTTCCAGTTTATTCTGTAACAGAATAATATGAATATCCGTACGAAAGGGTTTTTTACAGTTTGATTAGATGACTGTACTTTAATTTTTAATGTTGCCATGAATCTTTACAGCTTTGAATAAGGAAACTCATTGAACTGGCGGTGAAATACAAATACTTCATTTGTTTTATTTTTCCTTATCCTGACTCATGCTAAATGCTTGTCTCCTTCTTCTTGCAAATGATAGTGGAACACTTGAAATCCCTTGAAGTTCTCTTCTAAAAAAGCGGACGTAAAATCATCACTCACCCACGAGTGGCCTCCCTTTGGCGCCCTTTTCGTCACATGACCAGCCTTGTTTTGTCACTCTTTCCTTCTTCGCCCTTGAGGACGGTTGTGAGAGCACCTGGGTCCCTATACGGCACATATCCTTTTCTATTTAGGACCTTTACATCAAAATTATTGCTGTATATGGCTTTTAGGATTGTATTCTACTATATGGTTTGAAATTTGATCTAAATTATTGTTGTTTGACATGTTTTTTCATCGTGTTTACATTTGATGAAAACTTGTATTCGTTGTAGGTACCGGTTGTCTGTGGCTGACCCACATTTATTATGTCCTGATTGCGCTACTTCATGTTTTTTCAGCTCTCGCTGTAAACATTGTCTGAATTCTATTCATAGACGTGCAAAGGACTTGGTAAGAAGGCATTCACAAGTCGTGTTTAAAACGAGTGATTGCGCTGATAACCATGTGTTAACTACTGCTGCCGATGTTCATAATTCCAGTGAATTGCTAAGCGTTTTATGGGGGCAGGTCGCTGTTCCAGTGATGAACACTGGAGCCAATAAGAGAACGTCGTCAAGGGAGCTGACCTCTTCGCAGACGAAGAAGACTAGATCGTCTTCAACGCAGAAGAAGAAGGCTACTACCCCTAAGACTACGTCGAAGTCTCTACACAGCTGTACGCAGAAGACGAGATCCTTCTCTGCCGAGATTGTACCTCCGGAAGAAGCAGACGTGTATGATGATCCCCCCATCCTCATACCTGAAGTCACAGTCGTCAGCAAGAAGACGAAGCCTGCTTCTACAGCTACATCGTCAACTTGATAAGCGCAGACATTGACAGAAGACCTTCTATCAAAACAGACATTGACTCGATCTCCCAAGTACCGGACAGTCTCGGCTCAGCCTTTGAGAAGTTTCGGCTCATCTACAACATGAGGAAGTTCAACCAGGAGTATCTCCGCAGACCAGCAAAATTCAAGATGATACATCTTCCTCAGCTCCGACATCTCGTTCGTCCATCAGACTACCTCGCCAGCATTGATCTGCAAGATGCGTACCTACACATCCCGATACATCCAGACTCAAGGAAATGCCTAAGATTCCTTTTCAACGGACATCACTTCCAGTGGAAGGTTCTACCATTTGGAATATCGTCGGCCCCCTGGTTGTTTACTCGAGTGACCAAGCCCATTGTCACATATCTACATCGTCGAATCTCTACGCAGTGCTTTTTACAAGTTCATCAAGATCCCAGTCAACTCAGACTGCAACTAGACTTCACCATCAGGCTTCCCACTCAGTTAGGATAGCTGGTAAATCTCCTCAAGTCAGAACTGGATCCGAAACAGGATCTTCAATTTCTAGGAATACGACTCATCACGCCGGTGAATCGCATAGTCGTCCCAGAGGATCGTTGGGTCAAGATACAACATATGATATCTCAAGCAGTGCTATCTCCGTTACACTACGTGCTTGGCAAAGCATGCTCGATCTAGTCACCTCAGCTCAAGACATGACTCGCAGAGGGAGATTACAACTGCGCCCACTACAAATATTTGTGGACGCCCATCTTGGCAGTCTGGATCTGTTGATACTACCGGACAGCCTGGAACCATACCTCTTATGGTGGACTCGGAAGTCGAATGTTTGCTGAGGAACCTTTTTGTCAGAGCCGGTTTGCAACACTCATCTCTATGTTGATGCATCGCTACAAGGATGGGTGCCCACCTCGACAACGAAGTGGCGGCAGGGAAGTGGTCGAGTCAGGATCAGAGTCTGCACATCAACCTGTTGGAGATGAAAGCAGTGATCAACGCTGTACAACACTGGTCCAGCATACTAAAGAACGCAAGACTCACGGTCCACACAGACAACTCCACAGTAGCGCTCTACATCAACAAACAAGGATCAACAAGATCAACAAGTCTGCTACAACTCAGCTTTCTCTTGTTCAGCATCATCGACGACCTGAACATCTACATGAAGGCATGCCACATTCCAGGAGCAAAGAATGTCATAGCAGACGCCCTATCTCGTCCACTACAACCATCCCCGACGGAATGGATGTTACACCCAGAAGCATTCCGGTTCGTCATACAGACAATAGGATCTCCACTGATAGACTTGTTTGCAACAAAGTTCAACAAGCATTATGCATTTCCACCTCCAGCACTTCTACCACAAATAATACAGAAAATCAAGCAGACAACAACGCTGCAACTGATTTTGGTCGCGCCCTATTGGCCAGCGAGTGTATGGTTTCCCGTCCTCATACAAGAACTCGGAAGTCCAACCCTGAAACTACCAGAGTGGTCGAACCTGCTCCTCCATCCACACACCAACCAAGCTCACGGGAATCCGGCTTTGTTCCAGCTACACGCGTGGAGCATAACCCAAAGCTTGCCTGAAGATAAGAGGGTACTCCACCAGAGCAGCGAAAGCAGTGACACTAGCTCTACGCAGATCAACTCGCAACTGGTACGACGACAAGTGGCAGAGATTTGAACAGTATGCAACGAGGAGAGGCTTTACACCAGTAAAAGCAACCCATCCTCAAGTGGCGGAATACCTGTGTCATCTGCGACAGACAAGACACTTAAAAGGTTCAACACTCTCAACGTACCTGGCTGCTCTCAGCACAGTTATCACCATGAAGACGGGTGTCAAGCTGACCAAAGTACCAGAGATACTGGCACTAAATTCAAGGCTCCTGCCTGGGATCTCAACGTAGTTCTAGCAACATCTCACCAGTGATGCCTACGAGCCTCTAGAACGGACATCCTTTGAACTACTGACACAGCAAACGCTGTTCCTGATCGCCCTAGCAACAGCAGCACAGTTGTCAGAAATACATGCTCTGGACTTTGAACGAACACGATTTGAATCAAGACATCGTGACATCGTGCATCTAGGACTGAGATGGGACTTTATTGCCAAGAACCAACTGCCCGGCCAGCCTGACAGACAGTTCCACATCCCAGCACTCTCTACAGTCCTTGGGCCACAGGATACACAGGATCTATCCTTATGCCCTGTCAGAGCACTAAAAGTCTACCTGCAAGGACAAAGACAAGGAGGCGAAAATTCAAGCCTATTCATCCCCTTATCCACTGAGGCGCTACGAAGTCTCCCCGGACAATGATATCGATATGGATGAGAGCCGTTATACTAAGGGCCTACAAAGCAGCAGGACTTGAGCCTCCACGAGCCTCCAATCCCCACGAAGTCAGAGCCCTGGTGTCTACACTTGCTCTGCATGGAAACTGCTCGATTACAACAATAATGGAGGGCTGCTTTTGGAAATCGGACACAGTGTTTGCCAACCACTACCTCAGAGACATTGCCACCGAAGACGTCTCAGGCATTCACCAGTTTGGGCCACTTGTTGTAGCACAACAACTAACGGTTCCACAAAGGCGCTGAAAAATCTCACCCTTTTATCGCGTGACTTGTGAAAACAAATGCTCTGGAGAGCAAATGGTTAAAGTCCATGCACACGTCTAGGACAGGCTAGCATGAGTGATAGACCCTGTACTTGTATAGGACATACTCGTACATGAAGAAGGGTCGTATCTCCACTGCATGTGAGCATCAAGAGATGGAGTTGCAATAGATAACTAATGGAACATTAGTATATCTAAAATCCACACGAAAATGTCAGGAGAAGTTTTGGAAGAAATCTGACAAGTTGTGGTTCCCCAGACTCATCAGAGGAAGTTGAAAGAACAGAATCATCAACAGTGCCGTCATAAGTTCCCATGGGGGTAATACAGGACGTAAATCAACAGCCAGTGAATCCAGAAGTGGCCTGACCAACCACCGATTCCGACGGATTCTGCAAGCATTTAGCATGAGTCAGGATAAGGAAAAATATGTAATTTTCTGACTAAAATTGATATTTTATACTTATCCTGACTCATGAGGTCAGCCCTCCCAACCTCCCCTCTCATGGCACTCTGGATTCCCCTGTAAATCTGGGTGTCGGGCATACATACGGAGAGAGTGACAAAACATGGCTGGTCATGTGACCAAAAGGGTGCCAAGGAGGCAAGGGAGGCCACTCGTGGGTGAGTGATGATTTTACGTCCGCTTTTTAGAAGGGAACTTCAAGGGATTTCAAGTGTTCCACTATCATTCGCAAGAAGAGGAGACAAGCATTTAGCATGAGTCAGGATAAGTATAAAATATCAATTTTAGTCAGAAAATTACATATTGCTGGAATAGTTGAGTCAAGGTCATTTAAGATGGTGGCGGAGGGGTAGCCTAATGGTTAAAGCAGTCGTCACGCCAAAGACCCAGGTTCGAATCCCTCCTTTGTTTGTGTGAGCCCATTTCTGGTGTCCCCGCCGTGATGTTGCTGGAACACCCATGAAACCAAACTCAGTCAGTCAGTAAGATGATCAATGTTGCAAGGGTCAGTCGTAAGCCTCCTTTGTTTGTGTGACACACTTGCAAGATCTGAAACCCATGTTTCCAACTAAAAATAATCAAGCCTATGATTGGTCAAGGTCATTAATACAGAAGTGCATATAATTTTCTTATGAATTTTCTTATACAAGAATCAAGAGCAATCGAACTTTCAGGTTTCTGACAACAAGTTTGTTTTCTCTGAATATGTTGGTATGTTTTTTGACATGTGTTACCAGTATAATGTCTTTTCAGGAGAATATCACATGGTATCATGAAGGTACGGAGAGCTTGAAGGATGCCCGATACTGGCTGTCTGACTACTCAATACCAAGGTAAGCCCAATATCACAGAATAGGAGGTGAGGTGAAATTGGGTTTAACGTCGTGCTTGAGAATATTTCGCTCATATGACGACGTGCATGCATGTGTATGTGCGGCTGCTTGTACTAGCCCAGACTGAAGCTGGTTTTATAGTGCTAACCCACCGAGATACCATGCCGCAGTGAAGCATGAATACCCCACTCAGACACATTATACTGACTCCGAGCCGACCAGTCCTTGTTGTACCCATTAATGCTGAGCGCCAGGCAGGGACCAACGAGTACCATATTTTAACGTCTTTTGGTATGACGCGGTCGGGGATCGAACCCGCGACCTTCTGCTCTCCGGGCGGACGCCACTAACCACTACACCACGGAGGTGGTCCACACAGAATAGGAAGCTGTAGGGGACAATCCCAATATCTTTGTTGTTTAATCTGTTTGATTGTTGCTTTACGTCACACACAACGATATTCCAGCATTACTGTCAAATGAAATATATAGGAATGTTGACCATTACCCTGCCTAGCTTGGATATGTTCCATTTTTGCATACATTGGTTTGATAAATAACATCCAAATTCATGTAAAACCAATCTGTTTTAGAAAATTCATGAATATATTATTCTAGTGATTATGATTAATAAGTTGAATTCCTAAAGTGATACAGTTCAATTCACTGAATAAGCGAATGAATCGTAACAACCTTATTCTCATGTTTTCAGAGCGAAGGAAAGGGTTAGCAGAGAACGAGAAAGCAAACTGACTCCCATGGCACAGAAGAACGCTCAGATGCAGGAGCTGCAGAAGAGAATAAGAGTAAGTTTGTTTTCAGAGGGATGTCTTTATCTTTTTCGATATGTTTTCGTCACAACATTATATGTTTTGAGGAATCATTCAGCCTCTCTTGCTTTCACTAGCTTGCTTTCACTACAGATCTTCATTAACCCCGCTGCAGACGATCCTTATGTCTGTTACCCATGAAGGTCCGGGTTAGTATTGATCTTCAGCAACCCATGCTTGTCATAAAATGCGACTAACGGGATCTGGTGGTGAGGCTCGCTGACTTGGTTGACACATGTCATCGCATCCCAAGCGTAGATCCATGCTGTTTATCTGGTCCAGACTTGATTATTTGTAGACCACCACCATATAGCTGGAATATTGCTGAGTGTGGCGTTAAACGACAACCAAACCAACCTTATGTCTGTTACTCTTGCAGTGACTTAGTCGGTGCATTGAAGTCTGCAGCTACTGTGTACCATGTACCAAGTACTGATCTGGGGCATGAATACAGTGAAACCTGCCTAAACCGGCACCCCACGGGACCGAAATAAAATGCCGGTTTAGACAGGACGATCATTTTTTCCAACATGGTTGCCATTTACACTAGTCAATCTCTTTATGTCCATAATGCCTTTGATAAGCTGAATTTTTTAACAAGTGTTAACTCCAAATGTGCCCGCTTAGTTGGTGTAACCATCATGACACACAAAGTGACTGACAAGTCAATAAAACCAATGCCTATTTATTTACTCTCTGACACTTGTCACATACCCATGCTGGCTTAGAGCGTTTGATTCACCGCACAATCACTACTTCCTGATTATCTATCGTGCCATGAGGATTAATTTGTGTATTGGATAATGGGTCCTTGATTGGACTGTTCATACCCATGCTGGTTTGGAAAGTGTTAATTACCATTCAAAGTACTTGTTAGGACCGGAAAGTGCCGGAATACGAACTAGACAGGTCCCGGATTAGACAATGTTTTAATGATCATAATATCGTTGTAAAATGTTATGTCGGTTTTAACAGTGTGCCGGATTAGACAGGTCCCGGTGTTGGCAGGTTTCACTGTACTTGCTATCATACCCCAGCGCAAGATGATAATTATTTCAGTACTGTAAATTTAGAGAATCTGCAATAGCAGGTTGTTGTACAGTTACGCTTTGCATTTACAAACAGTCATTATTCGAATCTTCAATATGAGGAACATAAGGTTTCGGAGTATATTCTTACTCCCCATCAGGTGAAGGAAAGCTAACAAGCATAAAGCAATATGCATTGGGAACTACAGAACTGATAAGATTACAGGTGAACACTTAGCAGACAGACAGACAGACAAGTTTATTCCTCAACCAACCAACAGTGGTACATGAAGAATATATAAATACATATATTCCCTGGCAAGGGAGGCCAGTGGTTAATTGGTAGGTTAGTGGTTAGACTGGTAATGATCCAGCAACAGTGGACAAATAGAACCCTAAAGTAAATCCAGGTGTAAATAGTACTGATTGGTTAGTAAGCGCTGATTGGTAATGGACAAAGATAGGGAAAGGGAGATGGTACAGGGGAGGGTTGGTGGTGTCATAGCACTGACTGGTGATAATGACGACATGGAAGCCAGCTATATGGGTATGTGGTACAGATCAATATCTACAAGGGACACGGATGAATAAATCAATAAGTGGTACAGATCAATATCTATAAGTGACACAGATGAATAAATCAATAAGTGGTACAGATCAATATCTATAAGTGACACAGATGAATAAATCAATAAGTGGTACAGATCAATATCTATAAGTGACACAGATGAATAAATCAATAAGTGGTACAGATCAATATCTATAAGTGACAGATGAATAAATCAATAAGTGGTACAGATCAATATCTATAAGTGACACAGATGAATAAATCAATAAGTTAATTTTAGATCAATATCTATAAGTGACACAGATGAATAAATCAATAAGTGGTACAGATCAATATCTATAAGTGACAGATGAATAAATCAATAAGTGGTACAGATCAATATCTATAAGTGACACAGATGAATAAATCAATAAGTGGTACAGATCAATATCTATAAGTGACACAGATGAATAATCAATCAATAAGTGGTACAGATCAATATCTATAAGGGACACGGATGAATAAATCAATAAGTGGTACAGATCAATATCTATAAGTGACACAGATGAATAAATCAATAAGTGGTACAGATCAATATCTATAAGTGACACAGATGAATAAATCAATAAGTGGTACAGATCAATATCTACAAGTGACACAGATGAATAAATCAATAAGTGGTACAGATCAATATCTACAAGTGACACAGATGAATAAATCAATAAGTGGTACAGATCAATATCTATAAGTGCCACATATTAATAAATCAATAAGTGGTACAGATCAATATCTTCCAAGTGACAGATGAATAAATCAATAAGTGGTACAGATCAATATCTATAAGTGACACAGATGAATAAATCAATAAGTGGTACAGATCAATATCTACAAGTGACACAGATGAATAAATCAATAAGTGGTACAGATCAATATCTATAAGTGACACAGATGAATAAATCAATAAGTGGTACAGATCAATATCTTCAAGTGACACAGATTAATAAATCAATAAGTGGTACAGATCAATATCTATATGTGACACAGATAAATAAATCAATAAGTGGTACAGATCAATATCTATAAGTGACAGATGAATAAATCAATAAGTGGTACAGATCAATATCTATAAGTGACACAGATGAATAAATCAATAAGTGGTACAGATCAATATCTATAAGTGACACAGATGAATAAATCAATAAGTGGTACAGATCAATATCTATAAGTGACAGATGAATAAATCAATAAGTGGTACAGATCAATATCTATAGGTGACACAGATTAATAAGCCCAAATCAATAAGTGGTACAGATCAATATCTATAAGTGACACAGATGAATAAATCAATAAGTGGTACAGATCAATATCTATTAGTGACACAGATGAATAAATCAATAAGTGGGTACAGATCAATATCTATAAGTGACACAGATGAATAAATCAATAAATCAATAAGCGGTACAGATCAATATCTATAAGTGACACAGATGAATAAATCAATAAGTGGTACAGATCAATATCTATAAAGTGACACAGATGAATAAATCAATAAGTGGTACAGATCAATATCTATAAGTGACACAGATGAATAAATCAATAAGTGGTACAGATCAATATCTATAAGTGACAGATGAATAAATCAATAAGTGGTACAGATCAATATCTATAAGTGACACAGATGAATAAATCAATAAGTGGTACAGATCAATATCTATAAGTGACACAGATGAATAAATCAATAAGTGGTACAGATCAATATCTACAAGTGACACAGATGAATAAATCAATAAGTGGTACAGATCAATATCTATAAGTGACACAGATGAATAAATCAATAAGTGGTACAGATCAATATCTATAAGTGACACAGATGAATAAATCAATAAGTGGTACAGATCAATATCTATAAGTGACACAGATGAATAAATCAATAAGTGGTACAGATCAATATCTATAAGTGACAGATGAATAAATCAATAAGTGGTACAGATCAATATCTACAAGTGACACAGATGAATAAATCAATAAGTGGTACAGATCAATATCTATAAGTGTCACAGATGAATAAATCAATAAGTGGTACAGATCAATATCTTCAAGTGACACAGATACAGATCAGATGAATAAATCAATAAGTGGTACAGATCAATATCTATAAGTGTCACAGATGAATAAATCAATAAGTGGTACAGATCAATATCTATAAGTGATCACAGATGAATAAATCAATAAGTGGTACAGATCAATATCTATAAGTGACACAGATGAATAAATCAATAAGTGGTACAGATCAATATCTACAAGTGACACAGATGAATAAATCAATAAGTGGTACAGATCAATATCTATAAGTGACACAGATGAATAAATCAATAAGTGGTACAGATCAATATCTATAGGTGACACAGATGAATAAATCAATAAGTGGTACAGATCAATATCTATAAGTGACACAGATGAATAAATCAATAAGTGGTACAGATCAATATCTATAAGTGACACAGATGAATAAATCAATAAGTGGTACAGATCAATATCTATAAGTGTCACAGATGAATAAATCAATAAGTGGTACAGATCAATATCTATAGTAGTGACACAGATGAATAAATCAATAAGTGGTACAGATCAATATCTATAAGTGACACAGATGAATAAATCAATAAGTGGTACAGATCAATATCTATAAAGTGACACAGATGAATAAATCAATAAGTGGTACAGATCAATATCTACAAGTGACACAGATGAATAAATCAATAAGTGGTACAGATCAATATCTATAAGTGACACAGATGAATAAATCAATACAAGTGGTACAGATCAATATCTATAAACACAGATGAATAAATCAATAAGTGGTACAGATCAATATCTATAAGTGACACAGATGAATAAATCAATAAGTGGTACAGATCAATATCTATATAGTGACACAGATGAATAAATCAATAAGTGGTACAGATCAATATCTATAAGAAATTGACACAGATGAATAAATCAATCAATAAGTGGTACAGATCAATATCTATAAGTGACACAGATGAATAAATCAATAAGTGGTACAGATCAATATCTATAAGTGACACAGATGAATAAATCAATAAGTGGTACAGATCAATATCTATAAGTGACACAGATGAATGAATCAATAAGTGGTACAGATCAATATCTATAAGTGACACAGATGAATAAATCAATAAGTGGTACAGATCAATATCTACAAGTGACACAGATGAATAAATCAATAAGTGGTACAGATCAATATCTATAAGTGATACAGGCGGTACAGATCAATTAATAAATCAATAAGTGGTACAGATCAATATCTATAAGTGACACAGATGAATAAATCAATAAGTGGTACAGATCAATATCTATCAAGTGATCACAGATGAATA